GGGTTTTGGGGGGGAAAACAAGAAAAAACTTTTTCTCTTTTTTCTTTTTTTCTCCCTTTGATCTCTTTCTGGAAAAAAAAAAAAAAAAGGCGCAACGGGAATTTTTTTCCCCAGGGGGAGGCACTTTTTTAAAAAATATTTGAATGGGGTGGGAGGGGGGGCGTTGTCGGATAGCAGAGGGTAAATTTTTTCTTTCCGTGGGGAGTTTGGATGGCCGTTTTGGGGAGGACAATTGTGGGTTAAGGGCGGGATAATGCTCGTATGTTTTTTGGATGGCGGGATGGATGAATGGATAGATGTATGGCTAGGTGGGTGGATGTTTGGATGGATGGAGGATGGATGTGTGATGGATGGATGGGTAGATGGACGGATGGATTATGGATGGATGGGTAGATGGATGGATGGATTATGGATGGATGGGTGACGGATGGGTGATGGATAGATGGATGAGCACATTGAGGAGAATGACCACTGATCCGCATCATCCTGGCTTCCCCTGCACAGGGTCAGAGGTCACATGTCTCTTTCTCATGGACCAAAGGTAGCACTTACAGCACAAAAATAGTCTTTGGTCATTGTGGATTTTTCCGTTGAAGGCCCTTGGAAGGCTGACAGCTGGAAAAACAAAATGCAACTCTGATATCACACAAACATGCTCTCCCCTACTTCAAGATCAGTCCTGGAGGATGGAAGAGAAGCCTTATGTGTGGATGAATGTGGAAAACTGATTATATATTAAAGTGAATGGGGCCGGTGCTGAGGCATAGTGGATAAAGCCATCGCCTGCAGTACTGGCATCCCATTTGAGCACTAGTTCACATCCCAGCCGCTACACTTCTGATCCAGCTCTCTGCTATGGCCTGGGAAAGCAGTAGAAGATTTAGACTTAATGAAATAGTACTTCTAGGCCCCTGCAGCCGTGGGGGAGACCCGGAAGAAGCTCCTGGCTTCTGATTGGCACAGCTCCAGCCATTGCGGTCATCTGGGGAGTGAACTATCGGATGGAAGACCTCTCTCTCTCTCTGCCTCTCCTCTCTCTGTGTAACTCTGACTTTCAAGTAAATAACTTAACAAAGTCTGTTTTTAAGATTTTTCTCAGTTGTCTTTAGAGGCAGAGTTGCCTAGTATATGCTTACCAAAAAGCAGCCTTTGGGGCCAATGCTGTGGCGCAGTGGGTTAAAGCCCTGGCCTGAAGCGCCAGCATCCCACATGGGCGCTGCTTCTAGTCCCGGCTGCTCTTCTTCTGATCCAGTTCTCTGCTATGGCCTGGGAAAGCATTAGAAGATGGCCCAAGTCCTTGGGCCCCTGCACCCACGTGGGAAATCCAGAAGAAACTCCTGACTTTGGATCAGCACAGCTCCAGCTGTTGCAGCCATCTAGGGATGAACCAGCGGATAGAAGACCTCTCTTTGTCTCTACCTCTCTCTGTAACTCTTTAAGATAAATAAAATCTTTATTTTTTAAAGCAGCCTTTTTTAAATCTTAGAGAAATTTGTCTTATCTGACACATGTTTCTGTTAAACAAAACCCTCTTGATCAGTTAACTGATTAATTTGGAGAAGAAAACCTAAGATAATAAGAGATAACTAGGTTAGATCCTTTTTGAGGTAGATGTATATGTGTGTATATATACATATACATATTCAGCTATGTGCCAGGCACTTGTTCTAAACGCTTTCAACGTGTTGGCTGAGCTCCACATATTAGGAGTAAGTATTACTTACTGGAGACATGTTAATTGACAAGGACATAATAAACCGAATCCAAAATGCGGGTAGATTTACAAGACAAAAGGACTGCTTTTTTCAATAAATAGCTTGTTTTAAAAAAGGAGGAGAGGGAAAATAGAATTGCTATAGAAGAGACTTTAGAAAATAACATCAACCTGGTCGGCGTTTCTTACATAGCAGAGCAGCTCCCTTGCTGCGATCTATTGAAAGTCAGCCCTCGACACAAGGGTTGAAAAAAAAATAACATCAACCAAGTACTACATGTGACCCTTATTTGGATCCTGATTTGAAACAAAAGTCACTGGACATTGGAAGACATTTTGGAGAAACTGAACATAGATTAGACAGTAAATGATATTAAGGCATTATTTTATTGTGAGAATGACATTGAGGCTGTGTTTTAAGAGTCTTAGGTGTTAGAGATGTATAGTTATCCCTGTATCTGCAAGGAACTTAGTTCAAGCTTCTTTCATGGATATTAAAATCTGTAGATACTTAAGTCTCTTATTAAATGGCATAGTATTTGTATGTAACCTACAGATATTCTCCTGTGCACTTTAATTCATCTTTAGATTATAATAACACAAATGCTATATAAGTGTTAGACTATATTGTTTAGGAGATAATGACAAGGAAGTCTGTATATACTCAGTACAAATGTAATTTTTTCCCCTGTGTCTTCAGTTTGCATGGTTGGTTATTGGATGTGGAAGCCATGACTACAAGGGCTAACTGTACTGAGATATACGTGATTGAGGAAAAAGAAAATGAATGGAAGAATGTTGGTGATCATTGGAGCTGTGTTGTAAACAGAGGGTTCATCATACTTTTTTTCTACTTCTGTGTATTCTTAGCAATTTCTCTGGTATAAAGTTAACAAAACCAGCTGAAAGATGATAGCAGTTAAAGTTGGCTGGCCTTTTCAAAAAGGAACTTTATTTCAAATAAAGGCTGGAGATACTATTAGCATAATTGATGACATTTGAAAGATCAAGATTTGAAGGGGAGAGAGTAATCTGTGATGTCAACCAGCAGAAATGGCAGAGTTTGGGAATTTGTAACATCCTCTGAGTGTTAATAGGTTTAGCTAGAAATAAATGATGGTCATTTGTAATTTGGAGGAAGCAGGTACATGAGGACAGAGAATGCTTTGGAAGGATCCCAGAGCTGGCGGCCAGGAGACCTCCTTTTCAATCTTTAGAAGATGATTTCACCTCTCTGGGATGAGATGATTATAGCACATCACGCTCTCACCATACTCTTTCCTGTGACAGCAAACAGCTAGAGATTTTGGACTCAGTAGTTTCCATTGCCCCTTCAAGCTCTGCTATTCTGTGATCTTAATGAATGTGGATGATTTTGCTTCTAGAAAAGAGGAATTTTGTCTATATATCATAGACAAAGGAAATGTTTTCCTGTGGAATGGTTGAATATTAGATAACAAGAAAAGAGCAAGTTAAATATAAACTTTCATGTGTGCGCACACACACACACACACACATATACATATACACATGCACCTTTGTTGCTAGCTTCTGATATACTTGGGAATAAAGACATCCTAAGACAGTAGCACTCCAAGGCAAGCATTGTGACCTAGCTTGTTAATCTGCCACTTGGGATACCCCTGTATCACAGTGCCTGTTTTAGTCTTGGCTACTGTACTTCCATTCCAGCTTCTTCTGGCTAATTACCTGAGAAGGCAGCAGATGATGGCCCAAGTGCTCCACATGGGAGATGTGAATGGAGTTCCCAGCTCCTGGTTTTGGCCTGGCCCAGGCCTGGGTGCCGGTAGGCATTTGGGGAGTGAACCAGCGAATGGAAGATGTCTCTTTCTCTCTGCTGGTCCTGTTAGTAGCATTCCATTTATTCTTGGAGTCCAGTGATTGTCAGGCTGGCCTGTAACTGTGGATCAGAGAGCATTCTTTTAGGTTTGAGGGAAGTAGCTACTTCTAAAAGGTAACAGTTTTTAGTTTCATGTGCTTTTCATGTTATCTAGTTAAAACAAATAGTTCTTGCTCTCATATGTGTGGAGGTGTGTATGTGTCTAAAACCCCAGAATGTTTTATTCCAGAGAAGACCATTATAGGATAGCATTTATTCAAATGATTCTTCCATCAACGGTCTAGGAAGTCATAAAGTTTTGACACAGGGGTGGCCTAATTTGCCCTGCAAGAGTAGTGTGTTCTTTTAAGTATGATTTCTCTTAACTCATTTCACTTTTGTTCATTAGGCAACTCAGATTTTTTTATTGCCAATCTCCACTTCTGATTCCACTATGTCTCCAGCATCGCCTAAAGCCCAGCAGTCCAGTCAGTTATCAGACAAACTCATGGCTGAAAAGCAGGTAAGCTTAAAGTAGTCTAAGCTGGTGTTTCTTACTATGTGCCGAAGAATGTTGTGTACAAATGAAAAATTTGACTTCGAAAAAATTCAAGTAATTGGTCAAATAATTTTTGGGAAATGCCAGATTCAAGACTGTTATATGGTTTTGTTACTCCAATATGAGATGCAAGTATTGCAAGTGGTGGCTTAACCTTCTGTACCACAATGCTGGCCCCATCTTACAGTCTTAAAGTTGCTTGTTTATGGTGGTCTGACACCTCTGAGTAACATGTTGGAAGATAAGCCTTTCTTGAATGTTCTCTGAGAAAGCCGGCGCCGCGGCTCACTAGGCTAATCCTCCGCCTAGCGGCGCCGGCACACCGGGTTCTAGTCCCGGTTGGGGCGCCGGATTCTGTCCCGGTTGCCCCTCTTCCAGGCCAGCCCTCTGCTGTGGCCAGGGAGTGCAGTGGAGGATGGCCCAGGTGCTTGGGCCCTGCACCCCATGGGAGACCAGGAAAAGCACCTGGCTCCTGGCTCCTGCCATCGGATCAGCGCGGTGCGCCGGCAGCAGCGCGCCGGCCCGCGGCGGCCCATTGGAGGGTGAACCAACGGCAAAGGAAGACCTTTCTCTCTGTCTCTCTCTCCATTAAACTTTGCTAGAATGCTTATTGGTAAAAAAAAAAATCATAAAACTATGAATGCTTTATTTAAATTTTTTTTTTTTTTTTTTAATACTGACTTATTTATTTGAAAGGCTGAATTACAGAGGTAGAGAGAGCGAACTTCCATCTGCTGGTTCACTCCCCAAATGGCCGCATGGCTAGGACCGGGCCAGGTCAAAGCCAGGAGCCAGGGTGTTCATCTGGGTCTCCCACATGGGTGCAGGAGCCCAAGCACATGGACCATCCTCTACTGCTTTCCCAGGTGCATTAGTAGGGAGCTGGATCAGAAGTAAAGAAGCCAGGACTTGAATTGGTGCCTACATGGGATGCTGACACCGCAGGTGGTGGCTTTCCCTGTTACACCACAGCCCTGGCCCCCTAAGTGTCTTTTAAAAATAATTTTTTTAAGATTGTATTTATTTTAAAGGCAGAGTTACAGAGAGTATTCTATCTGCTGGTTCACTCCCTAAATGGCTGCAACAGCTAGTTGTGCCAGTCCAAAGCCAGGAGCTTCTTCCGGGTCTCCCATGTGAATGCAGTGGCCCAAGTACTTGGGCCATCCTCCACTGCTTTCCCAGGCACATCAACAGGGAGCTGGATTGGAAGTGGAGCAGCTGGGATTCAAATCTGTGCCTATGTGGGATGTTGGTCTTGCAGGGCAGCCTTTAGCCACTATGCACATGCCAACAATTTTTTTTTTTTAAGATTTATTTATTTGACAGGCAGAGTGACAGAGAGTGCTCTTCTATCTGTTGGTTCATTCCCCAGATGACTGCAACAGTCAGGGCTGGTCTAGGCTGAAGCCAGGAATTGGGTACTCCATCCTGGTCTCCCACATGGATGACAGAGGCGCAAATATGTGGGCCATCCTCCATTGCCTTCCCAGGTGCATTAGCAGGGGGCTAGACTGTAAGCAGAGCAGCCAGGACTCAAATTGGTACTCCTTTGTGGGTTGTCAGGATTGCAAGTAATAGCTTAACCTGCTGGCCCCCTATTATTTTCTTATTACTTTTTTTTGTTTCTTATTTCTTTCCATTGTTTTTAATTTGCTTTGTCTAGAGAGTTAGAGTCCCCTTCTCAAATTTAGAATGTAATTACATATTTAGAATTAGGGACACAAGATTTAAGAGTATCTTTCAGGGTGATTCTGTGAGACTAGAAATAGATGTTAGACCTTATCCATTATACAAGAAACTATTTAAAATGGTTTGTACCAGGCCAGTGGTGTGGTGCAGTCAGTTAAACCACTGCCTGTGAGTCTGGATCTATCAGAGTACTTGTTCAAGTCCCAGCTGTCATCGCGCTTCTCGGCCTTTTGGATAAGATCAAGTGTAGTATCAAGTCCCAGCTGCCCCACTTCCAATTCAGCTGCCTGCTAATGTGCCTGAGAAGGCAGCAGAAGATACCCCAAGTACTTGGACCCCTACTACCCTCATCGGAGACCAAGATGGAGTTCCTGGCTCCTGGCTTCAGTCTGACCCAGCCCTGACCATTGTCACGGCCATTTGGGGAATGAACCAGCTGATGGAAGATCTCTCTTCCCACCCCCCACCCCCACCCCAGTAACTCTACCTTTCAAATAAATAAATCTTAAAAAATAAAGTTATTGGGGCTGGCACTGTGGCATAGAGGGTAAATAAAACCGCTGTATGCAATGCAAGCATCCCATATTGGCGCTGGTTTGGGTCCTGGCTGCTCCACTTCTGGTCCAGCTCTCTGCGATGGCCTGGGAAAGTGGTACAAGATGGCCCAACTCCTTGGGCCCCAGCACCTGTGTGGGAGACGTGGAAGAAGCTCCTGGCTTCAGATTGGCACCGCTCCAGCTATTGTGGCCATCTAAGGAGTGAACAAGCAGATAGAAGACCTCTTTCTCTCTGCCTCTCCTTCTCTCTTTGTAACTCTTTCACTTAAATAAATCTTCAAAAAAAGTTATTTACGCCAACTAGTCAGATTTTTCCTGTGACCATGATGCTTGTTTCTGAGTAATTCAACTATTAAAAAATTATTTATAGCCGACACCGCGGCTCAATAGCCTAATCCTCTGCCTAGCGGCGCTGGCACACCGGGTTCTAGTCCCGGTTGGGGCGCCGGATTCTGTCCCGGTTGCCCCTCTTCCAGGCCAGCTCTCTGCTATGGCCCGGGAGTGCAGTGGAGGATGGCCCAAGTACTTGGGCCCTGCACCCCATGGGAGACCAGAAGAAGCACCTGGCTTCTGCCATCAGATCAACGCAGTGCGCCGGCCGCGGCGGCCATTAGAGGGTGAACCAATGGCAAAGGTTCTCTGTCTCTCTGTCCACTCTGCCTGTAAAAAAAAAATAATAAATTTATTATTATTTTTATATAAATATTTTATAATTTTATATAATTATAAATTTTATATAAATATGAAATGAATAAATATGTGCAAATATAAATATATCAGATATAAATATATAAAATACAAAATGTGAATTTTATATATTTATTTATAAATTTATATAAATATAAATATATATTTTATATAAATATAAAATGTGAATTTTTATAGGATTGATTAATATAAAGTAGTTTGTAGTTTTTCTGAGCAGGGCTTTGCTAAAGGATGCAGTTATAATTTCAGTGAACCAGATTTTTTTTTTTTTTTTAAAGATTTATTTATTTATTTGAAAGTCAGAGTTACAGAGAAAGGGGGAGGTCTTCCATCCGATGGTTCACTCCCCAATTGGCTGAAACTGCCGGAGCTGTGCCAATCCAAAGCCAGGAGACAGGAGCTTCCTCCGGGTCTCCCACATGGGTACAGAGGCCCAAGGACTTGGGCCATCCTCCACCGCTTTCCCAGGCCACAGCAGAGAGCTGGATCAGAAGTGGAGCAGCCGGGACTCGAACCAGTGCCCATATGGGATGCTGGCGCCTCAGGCCAGGGCGTTAACCTGCTATGCCACAGCGCCAGCCCCAGTGAACCAGATTTAAGATTTTTGTTTGCTTTAGGTTGCCATTAAGTCCTCCGTATCATTAGTCTGTACAATGCAGTAGTTTGTGCTTATTTGCATATTTCTAGTCAGTGGCTAAGCTTGTTACAAACGGTAAATGTTCTAATCTTATGCATACAAACTCATTTAATAAAACCTTTTGGTGAACAACCTCTGTTACCGGGAAATACAGGAATTTATATATATTGGGGATTTCTTCACTCTATCTAAGTTGATTCTTTTGTCTGTACTCAAAATTGTAGCAGGAAGAAGCAGAATGGGAGAACATAAATATGCTGTTGATGAAGCATGGCTTAAAACCATTGTGCCTGGTCAAGAGAAAAGATCTTAAAGGTACTTGGATCCTATTTCTGCTCCTTAAGGGGAAAAGGTTCTTTTTACTTTTGAAATTTCTTATCTTAAAAATGTCTTACCCACTTCTGTTTTTACTATCTGTTATGTTTCAAAATGTAGAGTTCATCATTTTTGACAAGCAGTCATCACAAAGGATGAGACAGAATTTGAAAACGTTGGTAGAAGAAACAGCACGTCAACAGAGCATGATACAGGAGCTTATAGAAACTAATCAGCAGCTTAAGTAAGAATGGAAAAATTCTTTTGACTTGTTGGTATGCATTCTAAAAATAACTGTCTTGCAAAGAACCTTAAAATTTAGTTTTTGATTTTGAATATGAAGTTTAAAGCTATTTTTATAGGTAAATAGTTAACATTTTAATAGAAAAACCTGTAGTAATAGCTTGGCATAGATACGTAATGGAACGCTGTATTTCTTTTTCTGTGAGAAGATAGAAATTTCAAGAATGCAGAAAGTTTTGGAAAGTGAATGTGTTAATATGTTATGTGGTTTGATTTACTTTTAAATACTAAAGGAGAGAATTGTGTGTATTAAATTAGAAATGAACTTCAGCTAGAACAGAGCCGCGCAGCACATCAGGAACAACGTGCCAATGACTTGGAACAAATTATGGAGAGTGTGAAATCCAAAGTTGGTGAATTGGAGGATGAATCCCTAAATAGGGTTTGCCAGCAGCAGAATAAAATAAAAGATCTTGAAAAGGAGCAGAAAACTTTACAGGTACCAAGTTGCATATTTTCTTAGATGTTGGTTAGTACTAGAGCAACTCATCCTGATCCTTGGTCGCTTTCATGTTGCTGAATTCAGTGGTACTTGTGATAGAAGGAAATCTTTGTGGTAACCAATTGGGAAAGATAAAAGTGCCCCTGGAGCATAATCATTTCACAGCCTAAGGCACATTCTTCTAATTTTGATATACAGTTATTGCCAAATTTAGAACAGGTTAGTGCTGCCTGTTTGCCAGTTGGGAAATGAAACATTGATTATCTCAGTGACAAAGAAGTCAAGGAAATTGATAAATATTTGGGGTATATTGAGACTGTTGGCGAAAATAATTTACATAACATGGGCTGTTATGTATATGCAGCCTTTTTTCATTTAGCCTCATTTTGAGATTCATTCTTTTGGCTCTGTGTCAACTGCTTAGTCCTTTTTGCTCAGAAGTATTTCATCCTATGGATCTACTATAGTTCATCTACCTGTTGATGAATATTTGAGTTGTTCTCAGTTGATGGTTATCACAAATAGAGCTCTTGTAAACAGCTATTGTTCAAGTATTTGGGTAGACATGAGCTTTCATTTCTCTTGGGTGGATAGGTAGAACTGGAACCACTTAATCATATGTTAATTTTTAAAATTCAGGTTTTTTTTTTTTTTTCTTTTCAGATTTTTGTTTTCTGAGGGACAGAGTCAGAAATATACAGATTTTCTATCTGCTGGTTTACCTCCCCACATGCCTTCAATAGCCAGGGCTGCGCCACGCCAAAGCCAGGAGCCTGGAATTCAACACAAGTCTCCCTCATGGGTGGCAGGGATCCAGCTACCAGAGCCGTCACCAGTGCCTCCTAGAGTATGTGTCCGTAGGAAGCTGGAATCAGGATCAGGGACTCAAATGCAGGCATCCCAAGAGGCATCTTAGCCGCTGCCACAAATGCCCACCCTGTATGTTATTTTATTAAAGACATTGCCAAAGCTTTCCAAAGTGGCTGTACCATTTAGCGTTACTTCCAGAGTACAAGAGTTCTAGTTTTTTTTTTTTTAATTTGGTATGGGACACCTTCATTTTGAGTGTTTTCACTAGGTATAGAGTTTTAAGTTGGTAGTTACTTTGAGCATTTGAAATGATCAGATTCCATTGTTTCTACTGAGAATTCTGTTGTCAGTTAACTCTTTGAAGGCAATCTGCTTTCTCTCTGGCTGCTTTTAGTATTTTCTCCTTGTTTTTATTTTGAAGTAGTTTTACTTTGTACATAGGCGATTTTTGTTTTGACTTATCTTCCTTGGACTTTGTAGCACTTCTTGAATTGGTGGCTTGATGTCTTTCATCAGTTTGGCTTAAGAATTTTCTTAACCATTATGTCTTGATGTTATTTCTGCCCATTCTTCTCAGGACTCCAATTCTGTTGGCATTTATCATATATTCTCCTATGTCTTTCATGGTTTTCTTTGTTGATCTTTTATCTTGCTTATTTGTTATGGATATTTTCATAATTATTATATTTTTTAGTTTTAGAATTTCTGTTCTTTTACTGAATTTTATGTTTTTCTGTTTTGTGTAAGTAAACATTGAATATTTTAAAATATATTATATATAAAATATCTGATACAGAAATAGAGATGGTGGTTGCAAGCATCGTGAACGTACTAGACTCCATTGAATTATTCCCTGCAAAATGGTTAATTTTACTTTATGTGAACTCACTTCCATTTAAATAATTCTGTCTGATAATTTGATTATCTGGTTCTCCTTGGATCCATTTTTATAGTCTATTGTTTCTTTAGGTTTCTATTCTGGTGTGCCTGGTTATTTTTTATTAAGTGCTGAACTCTGTATGGGCACAATTGTAACCATGAGGCCTAGACCCTAAAGATAACCATATGTGCTTGTGGTAGACATCCAGGTACAGGAGTAACCTGGGGTCATCTTGATCTGGTGTCAGATGAAGATTTGAAGCTGAGCTTCAGTCTCAAAGATAGCTGATCAATTTCTAGTTCACTTTCACTCTTAGGGTGTAGTGTGAGGTTTCCTAGGGTCTTTATTCGGTGTCTAATTTTTGTTTCCATAGTCTTGCCAGACTAAAACAGGCACGGGCACACAAAGCAAGAATAGAATAAAAATGTTAATTTTCTTACCTTCTGTGATACTGCTTCAGGTATCTGAAAACACACATGGGGAAATATAACTCCGAAAACTATACTCAGTCCTTTTAGGTTTCTTTTTTCTCCAAGATCATGGCCTCCTTTTTCACTGCCTTTTTAGTACCTTTTACTTTTTTAAAATTTTACCATTTTTTATAGAAAACTTTTATTTAATAAATATAAATTTCAAAATACAACTTTCAGATTATAGCAGTTCTTCCCCTCATAACCATCTTCACACAAACCATCTCATCTCCTACTCCCTCTCCCATCCCATTCTTCATTAAGATTCATTTTTAATTATCTTTATATACAGAAGAGCAACTCTTTACTAAGATTTCAATAGTTTGCACCCACACAGATATACCAAGTATAAAGTACTATTTGAAGACTAGTTTTACCATTAATTCTCATAGTACATCACATTGAGGACAAGAGGTACTACATGGGAAGCCAATGCATAGTGACTCCTGTTGTTGCTTTAACAGTTGACACTCTTATTTATGATGAATTTGACCATATTTTTAAAGTTTTTCTTGGCAGGAGGATTGGGTGAATTATCTAGTCTATAATTTATAGACCAGGAATTCTACTTTATTTTTTAAGTAGAATTTTTTAAAATAGCCTGTATCTAATAATTCTGATATTGGAAATTCTTAGATTTTAGGCTCTAGTTATGATGTCTTCTTAATGTTACCTGTGCATGCAGGGCACAGTAATACTTACAGGATTAATTTGAAATATAAAATGAAAGCATCTTATTCCAGAGTAAGCTGAATTGCAACCTGGCTTCCAGTCTCTTGGATAGAACCAGAAAAGGTCAAACCAAGATCTTAGATTAAGGAATTGAAGAAATTAAAGTTCTAGTATAGCATTTGACATGAAGGAATAAAAGTTCTCTTTGAAGTGGGAAGCCCTGCACATGCCAAAAGAGAAAAAGAAAACCCAAAGAGTTAGGGGCTGTATTCCTCCCAAGAGTGTTTTTAGATTCCTGAAAATTGAGATGATCATCTTAGTTCTCTCTGTTCTTTCAACATGGTGAAATATATTCTTTGATTTTTGTTTGAACCATCCTAGCATGTCAGGAATAAATCCCGCTTGGTCATAGTATATCATCTTTCTAACATACTATTGAATTGAGTTTGCTAGTGTTTTGAGTTTTGCATTATAAATATTTATTTAAAATAGATATTGGGCTATAGTTTTTTTTTTCTTTATATTGTCTTTGGCTTTGATACCAGGATAATGTTAGCCTCATAGAATGAATTAAAATTGATTTTTGTAGATTGCTCTTGTATCCTGCAACTGTGCAGAACTCGGTGATTAGTTCTAACTTCACAGTTAACTTTTAGATGCAGGTGGGACTTGCATCCTCATCATGTGACTGTCGCACAGGCCCTACCTGGCTTCTAGGGAGGTCTAAGAGGATCACTTCTGGGTGTAATAATGTGTGCTTTGTGGGAGATGGAATGGTACTAGAAGCTTTTGGTACCCTTTTCCCCCTGAGGCTCCCTAAGTCTCAACAGATATTCTTAGATAAGAGTGTCCTGTTCTGAGAGGGACATGTCTTGAAAATATACAAGCCAGATGGAAAAAAGTCTTCTCACTGAGCTTCATAAAAGTGTGTTAATAATAAAAGTGACAATGCTTTTGCTAATGAGCTTTCAAAGGACACTGAGAAAATAAGGGAAAACCAGGCAAGTGATATCTTGAAGACACGGGAAGAATTTATACATTTCTTTATAAATCTCAAAATATAAACTAATTATTTAAGATACAAATACATCCACCTACCAAAACAGAGACAGACAGTTCCCATTCACTGGTTCCCTCCTTAAATTACCGCAACAGTTGGGGCTGAGCCAGGCAGAATCTAGGTGCTGGGAACTCAATCCAGATCTCCCACATAAGTGGTAGGGAGCCAACTGCTTGAGCCATAATCTGCTGCCTCCAAAGGTAAAGTCAGCCGGATACTGGAATCAGGAGCTGGAGCCATAACTCAAAGTGAGGCACTCCAGTGTGGGATGCAGGCATTGGCAGCCAGCGACTTAACCGCTGGACCAAACATCTGCCCCTGATTCTGTCCTGAAGATGACTTCTTGGTTATGAACTGACTTGAGTTTACAATGTCCCATAATGCCTGAATACCTAAATTGATTACACTGTTTGCAGTCCTGCGTTATCACTAAAGAAACAATTTTAATTCTTGTCTCTTTTTAACATCCTTATATTTGTCCCTTCCTGATTGTTTTCAAATAAACCTAAATGTAAAATTACATCAGTATTATAGAGATAAGTCTGCTACTCTGAAATCATGGATGCATGAAATTATAAGCTATAGTTTCCACATTTCATTGTTATTTTTACTTATATTTTTCAGGTTTGTGTTTCTGTAGCTTGTGTCCATTTAAAAACAGCCTTAATACTAAGTTCTTGCATGAAATAATTCAGTAGAAACTATGAAGATACTTGTGTGTAAAATACTGTTAGGGCAGCATGTCCTTCACATCATAATTGTGTATGTACAAAACTTCTTACAGGCAAAATGCCAGCATTATAAGAAAAAACGAATGGAACAACAAGAGACAATTGCTTCTTTGCAAAAGGATATCTATAGATTAACAAAGGAGGAAGAAGAGCGCATTTTCACTCAAAATAGAGTGTTTGCCTATCTCTGCAAGAGAGTTCCTCATACCATCTTGGACAGACAGTAATGTTTACTTTATGTTGCTATCTTGCTAGATTCATCTTTTCTTTTTTAAACTAGTTTTATCTTGGAACTGGTTATATGTCTTAGAAACTACAAGAGTCTCCTTCTCCCTCTTCTGCTTATGCCACCCCTCTCAACACATCCCATACACTTCTTTTTGCCCTGGAGAAGTGAATTAGACATTTCCTAAATAACACTGAATATTTAACTAAATTAAATTGATAATTCACAAGTGAGACATGCATCAGAAGAACTCTGATTCCTTTTAGTGAGGAATGGTTTGAGACCACTGTATAGGTGTTGGAGTTGCTTATTGTCATTGATTGTAGGACTTTTCAGTGGAGAAAAACTAGAAATGATAGAATTTGGGACCAAAATGTTTTTTTCACAGTTTAAGTTAGCATTGCAGTGTTTTTACATTGAAAATCATTATTTTTTAGAATAATAATCATTTGCTTTATCCTACATTAAATTTTTCAAAACAATAATACCAAAACTACTCACAATAAACCTGTCGAATGAAATTTAAATTTCTTCATAAATCTTTTAAGAATTTATTTTTACTTATTTGAAAGTCTGAGACAAACAGATCATCCACCTACTAGTTCATTTCCTGAATGCCAAAACCAGGAGCCATGAACTCATTCTGAGACTTCTGTGTGGGTGGCAGGAACCCAGCTACTTGAGCCATCGTATCTTGCCTCTCGGGATGTGTACTGTCAGGAAGGTGGAATTGAGAGAGGAGTCAGAACTTGAATCTAGGCACTGTGAAATGGAATATGGGTATCTTAACTGTCATCTTAACTATTAGGGTAAATGCCTCCCCCAAAGAATTTTAAAAGGGAAAGATGAGAGAAAGGATTTTCTGTTGCAGGAATATGGTAGCAGGAAAACTGAGTGTATTTGGAAATGGCAGATAGTCCACAACTTCTGGAGCTATATTTGACATGATGGCAAGAATCTTAGTAGACACTAGGAAAGGTCTGCTGAAACTCAGGGGATTAAACTCCTGGCTGAAGAGTTTGGGTTTGACTTTTTACGTAGCAAGCAAAATACTTCAGGACTTCTAAGCAAGGAAATTAAACCCAGGGACAGAAAATCAAGCTATTAATGGATTATAATAGTCTAAGTGATAGACAACAAAGGCCTGAATAAGACTACAAGAAAGGAGAGAGAATGCAGAGATGGACAGGGGTTATCCAGACTGATTGGCTGTAGATATTGAAAGGAAGGTAATAAAAGAACTAATTTTTCAAGCTAGGTTTGAGATAATGGGGAAGGAAGATAATGAATTCATAAATGGTCATGTGCTTTGGCCCCCTGAGTCAGTTTTGTAGAGATGTCAGGTTGGAAGGGCCAACTCCAGAGGACCTCCAAATTTCCTAGAGGGAAAGAAGAGTTGTTTGAGTGTTTGAGTATCATGATAGCCAAGATCCAAGCGTGTTTCAAGGAGCGGGTGGTCCAAAGTGTTAAATGCTGCTCATCAGTTTACTTGTTTACTTTCCTGCTATCTTAACTGCTCAGAATATTCAGTTGATAGATAAGTCTGCCCTAAAAGTTTATTAGTGGTATGGGGCCAGTGCTGTGGCACAGTGTGCTAGATAAGTTATATTTACTTTTACCCCTGTAATTTTAAATTATTTAGAGAGAATAGTAGATGGTATAATACATTTTGAAAATAATTCATTATATCTTCTGTTTTGTAGGTTGCTTTGCCTAATTGATTATTATGAATCTAAAATTAGAAAAATCTATACACAAAGGTATGAATAACTTTTAATTTAAAAAATTATTTATTTGAAAGAGGTGTCTTTGATCTGCTAGTTTATTTCCAAAAATGTCTACAACAGCTGCAGCTGTTCCAGGCTGAAGCCAAAAGCTGAGAACTTAACCTGGGTCTCCTAGATGGACAGACACCCAGGTATTTGAGCCATCAACTGCTACTCCAGAGTTCCTGTTAACAGAAAGCTGGGTTGGAGGCAGAGGAGCTGAGACTGGGACTTATGTATCCTGATATGGGATGTGGGCATCCCGTGCAGTGTTTTAACTGTTGTACCAGATGTCTGTCCCAGTCCTGTGTTACAGTTTTTGAAGTTACTTTCTAGTAATAAATCATCCCCAAAATTTTCAATAACCTTCTGAAATTTTAAGTATAATAAGAAAATCTTAATTTTCCCTATGGCCTTCTTTATAAAGGTCTTGAAGATTATATTTTACCATTTAAATTAAAATGTATTATAATTGTTTAAAAAAATATATATTTAGGCCAGCGCCATGGCTCAATAGGCTAATCCTCCACCTGCGGCGCTGGCACACTAGGTTCTAGTCCCAGTCAGGCGCCGGATTCTGTCCCGGTTGCCCCTCTTCCAGGCCAGCTCTCTGCTATGTCCCGGGAGTGCAGTGGAGGATGGCCCAAGTGCTTGGGCCCTGCACCCGCATGGGAGACCAGGAGAAGCACCTGGCTCCTGGCTTCAGATCAGCGTGATGCACCAGCTGCAGTGGCCATTGGAGGGTGAACCAATGGCAAAGGAAGACCTATCTCTCTGTCTCTCTCTCTCTCACTGTCCACTCTGCCTGTCCAAAAAAAAAAATATATATATATATAATACTTTGGTGATTGTTAAATATATATATATTTAATATATATATTAAATATATATTATATATATAATATTCACAGTGGAAATAGTATTTCTTGTTATTTTGTTGAAGTATTGTAACTTGTTCCACTAATGTTATCTAGACACAGTATAGTTACTGAGTATGTCCACAGAGTACATAGAATCTGCCTACCAAGTGCATCCGAATTACTGTGTAGATTTATATGAGATGAAGATGTCAGAAATGAAGCATAGATTTCTTTGTATGAACTAGCATGTGAGATGTTTCTGGAGCTTTGCAAGTTAGGCTTCTGCGACTGAAGGTCATTATGGTGATGGTATTGAATTTAGCTGTCATGATTTTGTAGCGAAAATCTGGGAATGAGAAATGAAAGACATAGGGGAGAGGAATCGCTTTTTTAAAAATTTTATGTGAAAGAGTTAGGCAGAGGCAGAGAGAGAATGAATCTATCTTTATCCACTAGTTCACTGCCCAAATGGGTGTAGTGGTCGAAGCTGTGCCAAGCCAAAGCTTAGCTTAATTTTATTCAGGGTTAGGCCATTGAAACTCTTATTAGATTGGTTTAGTTTTGGTTACCTGATTTTCTTTCTCCGCAAATGTATGTTTTTCATAAGAAGGACACTACATGTATATTTCTATAGGCAATATAAAGTTGATGAAAGTCGATCAGAAGAAGAGAAAGAATACAGAAGCCTGAACGCCTCACCAACTTATAAAGGCCTTCTAATGGTAAGGGGCTATGAAGCTGACACATACTTTTTTGTAAAGTAAAATAATCTAGAAAAGTTCATTATTTTTCTATAAAATGTGTTAGTCCTTACAGAATCAACTCAAGGAATCAAAATCAAAGATTGATGCCCTTTTAAGTGAAAAGCTAAACCTCCAGAAAGATCTGGAATCCAGGTAAGAGGAACATAAGTAATTTTTCTTTATCCTTTGAAATTAAACACTTAACTCTAATTTGGAACATGTACTGAACCATTCTAGCCCCTTTAATCTAAAACTAGATTAACTCTTAGACTCATTTTAGTCAATAGTGTCTCATGATAAATGATGACAGGACATAGGTAGGCAAGGAAAATGAAAGACAGAAATCCACATTGAAAAATCAACCAGGATCAGCACTTTGATTTTTCTTATAAACATAGATTTATTGAGATATATATGTATGATGATTGCACATATTTAAAATTTTGATATGAAGTAATTACAATCAAGATAATTACCTTGAAGACTTTATTTTCTCTTTTGTAATTCCTTCCTCATGTTTTGCCTCAGGCTACTATTTATCTGCTTTCTGTCTTTATTTATGAGTTAGTATTTCCTGCATTTTATATGTGAATGGTGCCATGTTAAATTTACCCCTATTTGCCTTCCAGCATAATTTAAAGAGAATTTGTAATTATAGACAGGCAAATTATAGTGGAATCTGTAGGATCTTCAAAAAGTCATGAAAAACACAAGAATTTCAATTTTTTGCACCAAAATAAACCTTGCTTTTATAGTTTTTTCTCTATGAGCTTTTTAAAGTACTCTGATATTTATGGAGTACAAAGTGATGTGTGATTTATGAATACAATGTGGTATAATTAGCATATTAAACACTTCAAAAATCTTTTTTTATGGTGAAAACATTTGCAATTTAATCTTAGTGATTTTGAAAGGTACAACACATTTTTACTGTAAGACTCAGTCCTATACCAACATGCCTCTCATTCTAAAATTTTAGGATGTCTTGTTATTTTTTTCTTATTCCTGGGTGGTGGGAATGAAAAGAAAAGTGAACAGTTTATACTGGCACACAAGAGAAAGGTATCGTAGCTACAAAGAGGTGACACTCTCCATGCTGATAAGTCAATGATATGAAATGAATATTGTCAAGATTTCTTGCATTCAAAAACACTTGTTGAATGCCTATTTTAAGTTAGAGTCTGTCCCAAGGTCTGGGATAAAACAATGACCAAGGCCGGTGCCGTGACTCACATGATTAATCCACTGCCTGCGGCACCGCCACCCCAGGTTCTAGTCCCAGTTGGGGTGCCAGATTCTGTCCCGGTTGCTCCTCTTCCAGTCTAGCTCTCTGCTGTGGCCCAGGAGGGCAGTGGAAGCTGGCCCAAGTGCTTGGGCCCTGCACCCACATGGGAGACCAGGAGGAAGCACCTGGCTCCTGGCTTCGGATTGGTGCAGTGTGCCGGCTATAGCAGCCCTTTGGGGGGTGAACCAATGGAAAAGGATGACTTTTCTCTGTCTCTCACTAACTCTGTCAAAAAAAAAAAAAAAAAAAATGACCAAAACAAATTCCTGGTCTCACATTGCTTATACTTTAATGGAGAGGGGCTGATGTCTATAGCATAAACCATTTATATAAAGCTTGAAAATCTGCTATACAATAATACATACATTTGTGGTTATAATGTAGTAAAAATCATGCTTGGAAGCAAGGAACAAGGAGTTCAGGACAGTAGTTAGTGATGGTATGTGAAGGACAGGAATGACATTTAATGAGAGATATAGGATATCTTTAAGTGTGGTATGTTTTAAAGATTTAAAACAAATCTGTTAATATTCAAACTTGGTAAACTTAGATTTGTTATAGTATTTGTAATACTGTTCTCTATTCTTAGCTGTATATTTCAAGTATTTCACTATAAAAATAATAAAAATAGTAAAAGGATTTTTAAAGATTATTATTTGAAAAGAGTGACAGAGAGGTAGAGACTGAGGGATATGTTACATCTGCTGGTTCACTCCCTAAATGCCCACAACAGCTGGGGCTAGGCCTGGCTGAAGTCAGGAACCAGAACTCAGTAGTCCACGTAGGTGGCAGGAACCCAAGTGCTTAGGCATCATCCGTTGTCTCCAAGGTGTATTAGCAGAAAGCTGAATAAGAAGTGTGGAGAAGCCAGGACTCCGATGTATATTGGGATGTGGGCGTTCCAAGTGGCGACTTAACCCACTGTATCACAGCACCCATGCCAAATAAAAGGTTTTGAATAAGGAATTGCACAGAAATCCAATGGCCAGTAAATACCTTATTAGCAATCATGATGTGTTTTCAGCAATATTTTTTTAAAAGATTTATGTTTTATTTGAAAGGCAGAGTGAGGGGGAGATCTTCCATCTGCTGATTCACTCCCCAAATGGCTGCAACGACCACGGCTGGGCCAGGCTGAAGCCAGGAGCCTGGAACTCCATCCAGGTCTCCCACGTGGGTGCAGGGGCCCAAGCGCCTGAGCCATCTTCTGCTGCTTTCCCAGGCCATTAGCAGGGAGCTGGATTGTAAGTGAAACAGCTGAGACTTAAACCAGTGCCCATATGGGATGCTGGTATTTAAGTGGCTGCTGAATCTGTTGTTTCACAACACTGGCCCCTTTTCAAATTTTTTTTAACAAAAAATTTATTTTTGAAGTTACAGAGAGGGAGAGACAGATTTTCCATCCACTGGTCCACTTCCCAAGTGGCCACAATGTCCTGGGCTGGGCTGGGCCAAAGCCAGGAGCTTGATCCGGGTCTCCCACATTGGTGCAGGGGCCCAAGTACTTGGGCCACCTGCCGCTGCTTTCCTGGGTGCATTAGCAGGGAACTGGATGGGAATGGAGCAGCTGGGACTCAAATTGGCACCCATATGGGATGCCAGCCTTGTAGGCAGTGGCAGTTATACCACAACACCAGCTCCACCCTCATTTTTTTAAAGACTTATCCTTTTTCAGATTTTTTTTTTTTTTGATGGGCAGAGTGGACAGTGAGAGAGACAGAGAAAGGTCTTCCTTTTCCGTTGGTTCACCCCTCAATGGCCGCTGCAGCCGGCGCACCACGCTGATCCGAAGCCAGGAGCCAGGTGCTTCTCCTGGTCTCCCATGGGGTACAGGGCCCAAGCACTTGGGCCATCCTGCACTGCCTTCCCGGGCCACAGCAGAGACCTGGACTGGAAGAGAAGCAACCAGGACAGAATCCGGCACCCTGACCGGGACTAGAGCCCGGTGTGCCGGAGCCCTAGGCGGAGGATTAGCCAAGTGAGCCGTGGCGCCGGCCCTTTTTCAGAATTTTAAGAAGCTTATTTATGACAAGTAACAGGGTATCCTCTTACTTAATTACTTTTATAATTTTATTCAATAAATTTAATACCTTTTAACATGACTTGTTTTTTACAGGCCCACACAGCAAGAATTACAACTATATAAACAACAAGTGAAGAAACTGGAAAAAGCCCTTAAGAAAAACATCAAGTAATTATATTTTACCAATTGTTAGGATGTTGCATTTTGTTAATTTTTTTTATGTGTCAGCTTATCTCATGCCACATTATTGTGGCCTTGGTTTAGAATTACCAGGATGAGGGGGAACAAGACCTTGAAAAGAGGTTGTTTTGGGTTCCATAGGTTAAAAGCAATTTCCAGTGTTGGATTTGGCTTTATAGTGACTTAAGTGACAACAAGAATGGGGTAACTGCCTAATGTAATGAAGAGCAAAGATTTCGTTTGCTTTTTTATAAAGATAATATTTTATTAATTTGAAAGGCAGAGTGTTGTTGGTGGTGGGGGGTGTTTTCCATCCACTGTTTCATTCCCCAAATGGCTGGAGCCAGGAGCCTCTTCCAGGTCTCCATTTGCATGCAGGGACCCAAGCACTTGGGCAATCTTTAGCTGCCTTCCAGGGCACATTAGCAGGAAGCCAGATTTGAACTGAAACAGCCGGTACTTGAACTGGCACCCATATGGGATGGTGATGTCACAGGCAGTGGCTCTACCTGCTACGCCACAGCACCAGCCCCAAAGACAGATTTTAAATAGAAAATTGTCTTTGGAAGTAATGGGAAAATTGTAAGAGACTCAATGAAATTAGATGTGACAAGCCATAGATTTTTGATTTTAGTATTTTAGGGGTTTTTTGCTTTTGGTAGTTATGATATGAAAACTATAAAATGAGCCTCATTACACTTAAAAAGTAAAAGTACTGGATGCAATGCAGTGAGCCATTCATGTCTACCACTTGTACTGTTCCTGGCCTTGAAAAGCAAGTGCTCAGAGATGTTTCAAAAAGTCGGTCTCAAACAGTGATGGTATTTTTTACAATTTATCTTTGGGTACTCTCCGATTCAAGGGGATGGGATTTGATAAAGTAGTTTGGGGAGCATTAGGATGAAATATTTTGAGAATTGGCCAGCACTGCGGCTCCCTTGGCTAATTCACCTGCGGTGCCGGCACCCCAGGTTCTGGTCCCAGTTCGGGTGCCGGATTCTGTCCTGGTTGCTCCTCTTCCAGTCCAGCTCTCTGCTGTGGCCCGGGAAGCCAGTGGAGGATGGCACAGGTGCTTGGGCCCCTGCACCTGCATGGGAGACCAAGAGGAGGCACCTGGCTCCTGGCTTCGGATCGGCGCAGCGCACTGGCCATAGCGGCCATTTTGGGGGTGAACCAACGGAAGGAGGACCTTTCTCTCTGTGTGTCTCTCTCTCACTGTCTAACTCTGCCTGTCAAAAAAAAAAGTTATAAAAAAATTTTGAACTATGAATTAATGTGTTCTAAGTCAATTGTATTAACATATGTTGATTACATTTTCATTGACAACTGTTTTCCCCTTCCTATTCCAATACAAATTAGGGTGAAAGGCAAGTATTATAGGTATCTAGGGATTACAGATTGCATTAAGTGAAGATGAAGGAAAACTAAGAAGCGGAGAGTTTAGAAAGGATTCATTCATTCGTTGACTGATAATTCCCTTTCTAATTTTTTTTTTTTTTTTTTTTTTTTTTTATTTTTGATAGGCAGAGTGGACAGTGAGAGAGAGAGACAGAGAGAAAGGTCTTCCCTTGCCGTTGGTTCACCCTCCAATGGCCGCCGCTGCAGCCGGCACACCGCGCTGATCCGATGGCAGGAGCCAGGATCCAGGTGCTTTTTCCTGGTCTCCCATGGGGTGCAGGGCCCAAGCACCTGGGCCATCCTCCACTGCACTCCCTGGCCATAGCAGAGAGTTGGCTGGAAGAGGGCAACCGGGAAGAATCCGGCGCCCCGACCGGGACTAGAACCCGGTGTGCCGGCGCCGCAAGGTGGAGGATTAGCCTATTGAGCCACGGCGCCGGCTCTGATAATTCCCTTTCTACTACTGTTTGATATTTTGGTTACCTATAGTAATTCCTACTATCTGGTATTCTAGGCAGTAGAGTTTCAGTGGTAAAAACCAAATATAAAAGGTCCCTCCTCTCATAGAGATAATGTGAAGGAAGAATATTGAAAAAAAAAATGACATTTTCAATATAAATATTGAACATAAAATAGTGGGAGCATATCATGAGTTTGGTTGAGGTAGTGGTAACACAAAGGTGGCAGTGTTGGAGGTTTTAGAATTGGGGTAGGTTGGAGTTTGTAAATCAGATAGGACTTTGTGATGGATTGGACATAGAGAGTTAAGGGGAGGCCGGCGCCGCAGCTCACTAGGCTAATCCTCCGCCTGCGGCGCCAGCACACCAGGTTCTAGTCCTGGTTGGGGCCCCGGGTCTGTCCCGGTTGCTCCTCTTCCAGCCAGCTCTCTGCTGTGGCCCAGGAAGGCAGTGGAGGATGGCCCAGGTCCTTGGGCCCTGCATCCGCATGGAAGACCAGGAGGAAGCACCTGGCTTCTGGCTTCGGATTGGTGCAGCGCACCGGCCATGGCGGCCATTTGGGGGGTGAACCAACAGAAGGAAGACCTTTCTCTCTGTCTCTCTCTCTCTCACTGTCTAACTCTGCCTGTCAAAAAAAAAAAAAAGTTAAGGGGAAAGAAGAATCAAGCATCTTCTGAGTTTAGACCTAGATAATTAAGTAGTTGTTGGTGCCATTAACTGAGATGAAACTGGGAGAGAAGCACCTGAGAGGAGGAGGATGTGGGTAGATGAAAAGTCAGGTGAGAATGAAATACAATGACTCCAGAGCAAGTATGTTAAAGATACAAACATATACATGTATGTACTTACTCATAAAGATACATAGCCAGCCCTCATTAGTCAGATTGTTTATTTGTGAATTTTTCTACCTGCTAAAATTTATTACTGATCCTGGAATCAATACTCATGTCTATTTAACGGACATACTCAAAAATTGGAGTCACCCAACACATTCTCAACTGTTGAACAATATTATTTATACTTTGCTCCCTTATTTGTGCTCTTGTACTGTAAACAAATATCTCTTCCATAATCTCCAGGGCTATTTGTTTTGCATTTTTATGCTTTTTGTCAGTAACTTCTCTGAAATGATCCTCAGGTATAATCCTGGGACGCTGTCTAGTGTTCCTGCATGCTCAAAGACTGCCATGTACCTTATGGGGAAAAATGTGTTAGATAGCCTTGTTCAGGTGTGAGTTAGAGTGCTGCAGGCCATGAGCTCAGTGTTAATGAATCAGCAGTATATTTTAAAACACACACCCAGAGTAAGGTTATATGTTGATCAGTTAAGGAAAATGTGGCTTAGAGGCTTGCAGGAAGCTGACCCTGAATTTCACTGTTCACTAGTTCACCGTACATGGAGATTAAAAACCTAGTTGCCATGTGTAGTGAGAATGGACTAGGTATTTGTTCTTTTAGACTGTAGTCTTTAGGGCGACTTATCATTGTTATTACTTTTTGAAGATTTATTTATTTCAAAAGTCACCTACAGAGAGGGAGGGAGACAGGCAGAGCGTGGGAGGGGCGGGGGAGTCTTCCATCTGCTGGTTCATTCCAAGTGGCTGCAACCACCAGGGTTGAGCCAGGCTGAAACCAGGAGCCAGTGTTCCATTTTCCCTGTCGAATGATAGTAGATGAGGGCCAGCCGCTGACATGCACTCAGAAGGGCTGGGTACAACCATCTCACTGCCTAAGGGCCCTATACAAAAGCCTCCTGTTGTTTTATAGGAGGAAGGAGTGGGAAAGTACTGTCAGAGTAGAGAAAATTATTTTAGTTCCCCCACCAATAAATAAGGAAATCTTGGCAGAGACCCTTGAAAAATGCCTCCACCACTCCCCTTTCCCCTACCACCTTGTAAGGGGGCCCTGAATATACATTACTGAGCAAGGAACACAAAACGTGAGCAAGGCCAGTCTTGTGGGGGTTTAGTCCCTGACAAAACTCCTAGAGATTGCAATGCTTAGGCTGTGCACCATGTTCAGTGTGGGAAGGGCAACTTTCCCTCATGAGGCCTACCAGGCCAAGCCCTTCTGTTTGCCTATGGCTGAGTCTGAAAGATAGTACGCAGGGTTTGGGGCTGCAGCGGAACACCTCACCTAGAGCAGCAGTTGCCTTCAGGGTTTGCAAGTGATGCTAGGTTGAAATAAACTACCTTTTTCATTACTAACTATCTTAAAAATCCTAGGAATGTATGGAAAAGGTCTCAATAATATAACTTTGAGAGGTTCACACTTACACACCTTTATGTTTTGCTTCAGTATATCTAATATAGCATAATGTTTATTTATTGAGAGACAGAGCTTCCATTTGCTGGTTCATACCCCAAATGCCCACAACAGCTAGGGCAGGGCCAGGCGGGAGTTGGGCACGCAATCTCAGTCTCTTACATGGGTGGCAGGGACCCAACTATTAGAGCCTTCACCAACTACCTCCCAGGGTCTGCATCAGCAGGAAACTGGAACTTGAACCCAGGTGTCCCAACCAGCATATTTAACAAGTAGACCAAACTCTAACCCCATAATTAAAAAAAAAAAAAAAGTATTCCACTTTTCATTTTGATCCTCATCTCTACCATGGATCTCTCTCCACTAGATAGCCCCATATGAGATCATGGAAAGACGTCAACAGCATGCAGTGAAAAGCTGTAAAGTGTCTGTACATGGAGACTTCTCTTATGGAGGTGGCTATACAGAACAGGAGGTAACACAGCCTCCTTTAAATTGGAGGTACAGTGTTTTGGTTTTCTCAGAATCCTCAGAAACACAACTGCTGCTGCTGGCTATATGGAGTGATTCTCTGCTAAGCATGCAAGGTGCCCCTTAGCCACTCTTAGGGGATTTTTATGCACTTCAGTCATGTGCACCTGCTTCATAGACTGTAAAACAACTCTGGCATATTTCTTGAGTGTGTCCTGGTCTGCTACAACACAGATTTCTAAAATACTGAAGCCATATGCAAATGAAAACGAGGGCGTGGTTAGCGATACAACAAAGTTGCATTGTCGTTTTTTCTCTTAGACATTAGATACTGGAATAGCAGTAGAAGTGTTAGTCTTCAGGAACAGGAAAAGGTTTGCTGTAGACAAATGGCCTTTCGGCTCTGCTTTCAGAAAATTTAAAATTAGTAGCTGGACCCTAGGCCTCCTCCCTGACTCTAGCCTGTAGGCAAGTTACGCTTCCTCTCTTGCCGATTTTAACCTCAGCTTCTCTTGGTCCAGGGCTCCACTTCAGGCTTTGTTGTCTGGGCATCCTCAAGCCGACATTTTGTTCTGTGTGCATTTGTAATATCCCCCGAGGAAAGCTCCCGCATGCTTGCTCTATCTCACTCACCTCCTAAGGTACCAATTATCATTTTTGTTAGTTCTGTGGTTCCAAAGTTACATCAGCTTTAAGTAGTTTGGTTTCTAACACTGCTTTTCTCTTGAGCCCTGTTATTTTCACTCATGATTTTGTAAAATACGGAGTTTTTCAAGAGTATTGTGTTGTGGCACATGTTTACTCTGGTGAACCAAAGGTCAGTTTGCCTTGAGTCCCCAGTTCTTACTAACCCTTCTGTGAATTTAAAAAAACAATGGGATTAAATTAATACAATTGATCTTGAACTATGGGGATTCACTTAAGAAGCAGCTTTTGTTTTAGGGAGATTTGCAACACAGTTTGAAAACGTGCAGATGAACCTCATAACCTAGAAATATTAAACATTAGTAAAGTTAAATATGTCATGAATCCGTAATATACATAGGTAATATTCTATCATCTTCTACCATGAAATATATACATTATTTTATAAAATTAAAATTTATCAAAACTTACACATGAACAGAAGACCACACAAATTGTCTTTCACCATTGACAGTCTGAAGAAATGCAGGCATAAAGACAATTAAATCATAATTCACAAAATTACTGTACTTCATGCTGTACTACCATAATTCCCTAGCCACCTCCCATTGCTGCTGCAGTGAACTCTGGCATTGCAAGTACAGGCATGTGACCTAACCATCTCCACGTGAGCAGGTCATCTCAGTAAATGACACACTGTAGTAAAGAGGGATCTCTGGTGGTTCTTGCATATTTTCACTGTAAAATAATACATCTACAAATATGTGTTAATTGGCTTTATGTTATTGGTGAGCCTTCTGGTCAGCAGTAGGCTATCGGTAAAGTTTTGGGGAGTCAAAAGTATATGCTGATTTTCAGCTGTGTGGGGATCAGGGCCCCTAACCAATGCATTGTTGAACAGTCCAAGTACAAGTAAAGTGCTTAGAGTTCCTGCATTGAGAAATCTCTCAGATATTAGTTATCACCATCCAATTTCCAATAAATTTTATTTATTCAGGATATCTATTCATCTGGTTATGAGAATCACATTTCATTTTCCAGAGACTATAATCATTTATCCAATTATAGAACTAGGTTAATGCACAGGCAGTCAAGATGGTTTGTATCCATAGTATAGTATTAACCAGATTAACAGACAATTCATTGATAAATTGAATGGTTTCATCTGAGTAAAAAGTTAACTGATGTTTAAGTTCAAATAAATCTGTTTACTTGTACTCCCTCATTGAGACCAATATTAGCTTTTCTATGGCCTTATATATTCTAGATTATGAGAGTACTTCAAAAAGTTCATGGAGAAATCGAATTAAAAGATAAGTTTATTTTAGTGCAAAACTTCTTGAAATCCCATGTTTTCATAATATTTTCCATAAACTTTTTGAAAACCCCTCTTACATTCATGGCACTGCCTTTTGACAGAACTACAAAGTATGTGAGTGAGGTAAATTGCTGGGAAGTCAAGAGTAAATGAATTGTGAGATCTTGGTGCCTACTAGAGGAAGGAGGTTGTTTACTTAGAGCTAATTCTGCTTGATTTGGGACATACTCACCAGGGAGCAGAGAAAAGCAACTGAGTGAAAATCAAAGGAAATGCATGTCACTGGAATAAGTAATTGTATGTCATGATCACAGAAGTCAGGGGGACTCCAGGTTCCCACCAGTGTAGACCCTGGGAGGCAACAGTGCTGGCTCAATTAATTGGCTTTCTTCCACGCACATGGGAGACCTGGATTGTGCTCCTAGCTGCCAGCCTTTACAGGTATTTGGGGAATGGACTAGCACATTGAAGTTCTTTGTCTATAGTTCTATATCTCTGCCACTCAAAACACACACACACATTGGGTTAGGACTAACAGCTTGGATGCTAGCCCAAGGAGATTACATTTAGTTCACAAAGCAGTGGGAAGCCATTGGTTATTCTTCAGCAGGCAAGCAACATGACAGACTTTTGCCATTTTATTTTGCTAACAGCCCATCAGAGCTCTTTAATGAATCGTGGAATCAGTTGAATGGGTTGGAGTCCCAGCAGGAAGTGGATGGCATACTCAAATTGAAGAGGGTTAATCTGAAACAGGTTTGATATGAACCTGTTTTCAAAGATATGGAAGAGGGAGGAAAGGGAATTGTTTACCAAGCCTGTTTTTACAGATTTGGAAAAGGGCAAGGCTCGCTATTAGGTGGATATACTTACACTCATACATAGTTATGTTTTGGGGCAAAGAGACTCCTTTCTTTAGAGTTCTAGCAGTGCTTGAGACAGCAGTCTCTTGGAACTCCAGGACCTCTTTGACTGTCCAGGTGTCACTGTTGTCTATTCTTTCGCACAGGTGGGAGTACAAAGAGAGACCAGACCATCTAATGATTCTGCCCCAGTGCCCAGACCAATTGCCTTACCCATGCTTCTTGCTCCCTGCACATATGGCCTCTCAGCTTGGAGCGCCTCAGAGTGCAAGTTGCTTCCATCCTTCACTCGTTCTTCCCTATGCTGGTTCCTGTGGGTGTTGGGGGTGGAGGTTAGAGCTTTCTTCAGTTTTTTCCTTCTGTTTTCAGGGATTCCTTCTAATCCGTAGTCTGTTGTGAGGATCGTCTTATTTTACAGTAACAATATGACTCAGAAAATTTTAAAGCTGTGTGATGGCTGTGTACATGGGTGCACACTTATAAGTAACATGATGTAAGACTATTAGGAAGGTAGCTGGATCATCGACTTGCCTTGTCAGTTTAATACCTGTGGAAACATTTTGTATTGATTTTTCTCCTCTTTAGGTTACAGGAGCTTATCCATCCTAAAAAGACTGAAGATACAGAGAAGGATGATCCCAGCAAAGATAACCGGCAAAAGGCCCTGATTGACCAAAGATACTTTCAGGTATTGACAGTGAATGAGCCCTGGCTTCAGTTGCAGAATAGTAAGTGATAGGTTGGTAAGAAATCCTGGTACAATTCCACCCCCAAAATCTATGGATGCTCAAATCCTTTATATAAAATGGTGCTCATGTTTGCATATAACCTACATGTGTACTCCTTTACACTTGAAATCTCTAATTACTTATATCTAACACAAGTAGTACTATGTAAATAGTTACCCATGTTTAGTTTATAATGACAAGAAAAAATTCTGTATGTTCAGTATCAAAGTAAGTTTTCTTATAGAATTAAAATTATTTGAGAGGCAGAGAGGAGATACGGGTGAGGAGAGAGAACATGTGTGTACTGCCATTTGCTAGTCTATTCCCCAAATGCCTTTTACCAGGTCTGGGACTGGTTCAAAGCTGAGAGCCAAGAATTCAGCCAGATCTGCAGTGCGGGTGGGAGGAACCCAGTTATTTGAGCCATACCACTGCCTCCCAGGGTCTGCACTGGCAGCAAACTTCTACCTTATGACTCCTCTGTCTCATGTTTGATGTTGTACTTCTTCAGACAAGAAGTGGGGCAAGGGGTTGTAATCTGTTCTCTTTACCTTTGCTGTTAGTCCTCTGCTATGTTTGATTTCTCCAGGATTGGTGGTAAAGGGTAGGTAATAGGTGAGAACAGAGAGAGGGTAGAATTTTTTTGTTTTAAACTGTTGCTGGTATAATTTAGCAATGGTATCCCTTGGAAAACTGAATCTGCCTCTTGTTTCTCCCTTCACGGAATGCTTGTAAGTGTGTATTATATGTGTGTGTTTAGTTATTCCCTTTTCACCCACTAGGAACCTTGGTATTATACCATGCATTTTATAGGTAATACACTGTCCAGCTGACTCTTTTAAAGATATATTTATTTTTATCTTTTTAAAGTTATGAGAATATGGTCTTGTCTCAGATACCTTATTTTTTTTAAAAAAAGATTCATTTATTTATTTGAAAGTCAGAGTTACACAGAGAGAGCAGAAGCAGAGAGAGAGAGAGAGAGGTCTTCCATCTGTTGGTTCACTCTCCAGTGAGCCACAATGGCTGGAGCTGCAGTGATCCAGAGCCAGGAGCCAGGAGTTTCTTCCAGATCTCCTACACGGTGCAGGGGCCCAAGGACTTGGGTCATCTTCTGCTTTCCCAGGCCATAACAGAGAGCTGGATTGGAAGTAGAACAGCTAGGACTTGAACTGGTGCTCATATGGGATCCCGGCACTGCAGGCAGTGGGTTTACCTGCTGTACCATAGTGCCGGCCAAGATATATTTATTTTTCGAAAGAGTTACACAGAGACTGATGGATATTCTATCCGCTGGTTCTCTCGTCAGATGGCTACAACATCTAGGGCTGGGCCAGGCTGAAGCCAGGAGCCAGGAGCTTCTTCTAGGTCTCTTATGTGGACGGCAGGGGCCCAAATACTTGGGCCATCTTCCACTGGTTTCCCAAGCCATTAGCAGGGAGCTGGATGGGAAGTGGAGCAGCTGGGACACAAACCAGCACCCATATGGGATGCCAGCATCGCAGCTTTGCCTGCTATGCCACAATGAAGGCCCCTGCAGCTGACTTCATGTGACTCCCCCTCAGGTCCTCAAGTCACAGGCAGTTATTTCTCATGAGCACTAATGTGACTCTTCCAAAAGTGTCCAGTTGGCCGCAGAGTAAATTCTTACCCTACCACAATATACAGGGGCAGGCTCCTCTTCTTCCTTGCTCTAGTCCATCTTTATGTTTATATATTTGTCAGTTCCTTTTTGCTATGTAACAAACACATCCTAAAACTTAAAATTTAAAATAACAACCTTTTAATACTTTTGTGCTTGGACAACTATGTAGTTTTGTTAACTGACTGGGCTTCCTAATGGGTCTGCTATGAAATACAATTCAGTTAAGTGCCTACTTCCGGAAGTTTGGTGGCTATGGGCTCGGTGATGACGGAGCCATGTGTCCACCATCATCTACCACTCCTGCCTGGTCTTGGCCACATGGCAACAGGAGTGCACTGATGAAGAGGGGAAGTGATCAAGGCTTCTTGAGACCTGGTCTCTGAACTGGCATAACATTCCTTCTGATGTATTCTATGGGCCAAAGGAAGAACAAAGACCAGCCCAGATTCAAGGGGTAGAAAATAGACTCCAGGGGTCAGTGTTGTGGCACAGTGGGTTAAGCTCGTTAAGTTGCAGTCCCATATGAGTGCTAGTTCAAGTACCAACTGCTCTGCTTCCAATCCAGCTTCCTGCCAGTGCTCCTGGGAAGGCAGCAGAATATGGCCCAAGTACTTAGGCCCCTTCTGCCCACGTGGGAGACCCAGATGGAGTTTTGGATCCACTTTGGCTTAGATCAGCCCCAACTGTTGAGGCCATTTTAGGAGTGAACTAGCAGATGGAAAATTCCTCTTTATCTAACCCTGACTTTCAAGTAAATAAATACATCTTTTGAAAAGTAGATTTCACTTAAAAAAAGAAACTGATTTGGAAGATTTACAGAAGAAAGAGGTAGACAGAGATTGATCTTCCATCCACTGGTTCACTCCCTAGATGTCTGCAGTAGCCAGGGCTGGGCCAAGCCCAAGCCAGGAGCTTCATATGGGTCTCTCACATGAGTGGCAGGTGCCCGAGTGTTTGGACCATCTTCCATTGCTTTCCCAGGCACATTAGCAGGGAGCTGGATCAGAAGTGGAGCAGCCTTGATGCTAACCAGCACCCATGTGGGATGTTGGTGTCATAAGTGGTGGCTTTACCCACTATGCCACAATGCTAGCCTGTGACTCCACTTCTTGATGGGAGAATCTTCAGTGTCACACAGCAAAGCATAAGAGTGTAAAGAAGAGGGCCAGTGCCGTGGCTCACTTGGTTAATCCTCCGCCCGTGGCACCAGCATCCCATATGGGCACCAGGTTCTAGTCCTGGTTGCTCCTCTTCCAGTCCAGCTCTCTGCTGTGGCCCAGGAGTGCAGTAGAGGATGGCCCAAGTGCTTGGGCCCTGCACCCGCATGGGAGACCAGGAGGAAGCACCTGGCTCCTGGCTTCAGATCAGCGCAGCGCCAGCTGTGGCGGCCATTTTGGGGGTGAACCAATGGAAGGAAGACCTTTCTCTCTGTCTCTCTCACTATCTAACTCTACCTGTCAAGGGTGTAAAGAAGAATTTTTATGAACAGTTCTCCATGAAGTATGTATGCGTAGTGCTAAATACACACAGCATTCCACTTTGTCACTACTCATGTCGTGGAGATTGTTCACTGGTTCCCTGAAACTCCATGAACTCTCTCAGAAGTTGCCCTGCTGCTTTCCTTACCTTTGTTGGGGTAAGAGGGAGAAGCAGAACTGTTTTCAGTTCAGTGAAGTGAGCTGGAATTGTGCTACTGCATATGACACTGGCATCCTATATCAGAGCACCAGTTGGAATGCTGGCTGCCTCACTTCTGATCCAGCTCCCTATAATGCACCTAGGAAAGCAGCAGAAGATGGCCCAAGTACATGGACCCTTCTACCCATGTGGGAGACCTGGATGGCTTTGGCTCCATCTGTTACTGCCATCTAGGGAATGAATTAGTGGATGGAAGATCTCTGTCTCCCTTTCTCTCTGCCTTTCAAATAACAGCAACAACAACAATATTTAACAGTATTAAAAATTTAATGAAATGCAATGAATGGTTTTTTCCCACTAAATCATACTTAAAGATGAGTTCAAATAAAGTAGAAGTAAAATATTGAAATGTACTCTCCTAAAAAATGAAAACTCCTTATAAATAAATGTCAGATGTTCTCAGAAGACCTCTTTGTTGTAGCTCTCTGAGGAGAGGAAGGAACAACAGCATTTTCTGCCTGCTAGTTCTGTACATTCTTGAAAAGTCACTCTTCTTGCTGAGTCCTTTCTCATGAATCTTGAACGTTTTCTTGGATTGACTGGTCACAGTTACCTCTTATCAAGACCTGCATGCTGTCTCCAGGACTTTTCTTCAGAATGTGTAGGAATTCAGGGACCAGTGTTGTAGCCACCGCCTGCAATGCTGACATCCCATTGGGTGACAGTTCGTGTCCCAGGTGCTCCATTTCTAATCCAACTCCCTGCTGATGACCTGGGAAAAACAGTGGAAGATGGCCCAAGTACTTGAGCCACTGCCACCTACATGGGTGACCTGGATGAAGCTCCTGGCTTCAGCCTGGCCCAGCCCTTGCTGTTGCAGCCGTCTTGGGGAGTGAATCAGTGGATAGAAGATCGCTATTTTTCCCTTTCTCTCTGTAACTCTGACTTTCAAATAAATAGTAAATAATTAAAAATAATGTATGGGAATTCATTGTCCTCATTTTGAACTTCAACTGCGAAGCTGAGAGAACTGGAAAAGCTCTTGTGTCATCCTTTTTATGAGGAGACAGGTAAAGTGAGGAGAACAGGGAAATGTGGAGACTGTGGCTAAGGATGTGTGGTTGTTTGTAATCTGTGGAATAGGTCATTCATCACTATTTTCAATTCTAATTCACTCTAAAATTCCTTTTTGTTCTGCAGCAGGCCTTGTGGGACAGCAGGGTGAGCTGCTGCTTAGAACGTCTGCATCCTGAATTAGTGTGCCGGTTCCTGTCCTGGATACTCTATTGATTCTAATGCAGCTCCCCGTTAGTATGCCAGTGAAGGCAGCAGATGGTGGTCCAAGTACTTGGGCTCATGCCACCCACGTGGGAAACCCATGTAGAATTTTGGGCTCCTGACTTCAGCCTGGCCCAAGCCTGGCTGTTGTGGGCATTTGGAAGGTGAACTAGCAGACGAAAGGATCTTCTTTCTGTCTGTCCTCTCTGTTACCCTGACTTTCAAAGTTTTTGGTTCTCATTAGAATTTATATAAACATAACCATGTTAATGAAGACTACTGTTTTACCATAAGATTACAAGTATCAATCTCTTTACAGATCTTAATAATACCTGAAATGATTAACCTTGAAAATGATGTTTTATTGACACAAATTAGTCCTTTAACTTTGTAGGACTAGCATAAATATTTTGAATGAAAACACCTGTCTTTTCTTTTGAAGGTACTGTGTAGCATCAATTCAATTATTCACAATCCAAGAGCTCCAGTAATAATTTATAAGCAGAGCAAAGGAGGAGCCCAGCATTTTAAAGATCTTGTTCAAGATTGTGGATTTGAGCATCTTGTGCCAATAATAGAAATGTGGGCAGATGAACTGACATCCCTAAAGGTAAGGAGTTGAATATTTTTTTTGACAGAGTTAGACAGTGAGAGAGACAGAAAGAAAGGTCTTCCCTCCATTGGTTCACTCCCCAAATGGCCGCCACAGCCGGCGCTGCGCCGATCTGAAGCCAGGAGCCAGGTGCCTCCTCTTGGTCTCCCATGTGGGCACAGGGCTCCAAGCACCTGGGCCATCCTCCACTGCCCTCCCGAGCTACAGCAGAGAGCTGGACTGGAAGAGGAGCAACCGGGACCAGAACCCAGTGCCCATATAGGATGCCAGCGCTGTAGACAGGATTAACCAAGTGAGCCATGGCGCTGGCCCCTTGAATATTTTTTACACGGTTTGAAAATCTACTGGACTCAGCCAGTGCCGTGGCTCACTAGGCTAAGACTCCGCCTGCGGCACCGGCACCCCGGGTTCTAGTCTGGGTTGGGGCGCCAGATTCTGTCCCGGTTGCCCCTCTTCCAGTCCAGCTCTCTGCTGTGGCCCGGGAGTACAGTGGAGGATGGCCCAGGTCCTTGGGCCCTGCACCCGCATGGGAGACCAGGAGGAAGCACTTGGCTTCTGGCTTCAGATTGGCGCAACGCGCTGGCCGCACGCACTGGCCATAGTGGTCACTTGGGGGGTTAACCAGCGGAAAAAGGAAGACCTTTCTCTGTCTCTCACTGTTTGACTCTGCCTGGCCAAAAAAAAAATCTATTGTACTCTATGGACCTTATTAATAGGACATAATTTAGTGTGTTGGTTTTAACCAAAGCTGAAAAAAACAAAATTGGAATCTTACTCCTTCTATATTTTAAGTGTTATCTATTTGATATTGTCATGATTGTATGCTTTATCTCCTGTAAAGTTCTATCAAACAAGAAACCTTTTAAATCTGTTGCCCTATTGAAAAATCTGTAGTGGATCCACTTTGAATTTCTAGGCCTTTCCTTTTTCTACCTTCACTTCCCTCCTGTTTATCTCTTCAGTTATAAAAGTCTTTTTCATTTTAATTGGTAATGTTTTCGTATTTTACATTTTTTTCTCAGAACTTATCTTTGTTTGCTAGAGCAGATAATAGTTAGCAATCAACCTTACTGTCACCTATTCTATGTCCATGGAAGAATAAAAATTTATTTACTTTACAAAGTTACTATGTATCCTGTGTTACATGACTTCAGTTTTTTTTGTTGGTTTTCTTTTTGGTTAGTTTATAATACGGTGAATTACAAAAGTCAGTAGTGTTTAGTTTCTGTGCCCTTTAAACTTTAGATTTTTCAATAACTAATATATACAGTGCTACCTCAGTTAATAAAGTTGTAAAGTGTAAAAGACACAAAAGATAATGTTGAGAATGTGTGTGCACCTTAAGAATGAGAGTTTATCTTACTTCTGATCGGTCCCAAGGATCCTCATGATACATGAGTGCTCAATTAATACTTATTAATTAATATATATTAATAGTCTATATTAATGCACAACAGACTAGAGGATGATAATGCTGAATTTTGAAAAATTTTAATGAAAGCATATGGCCGGCGCCGCGGCTCACTAGGCTAATCCTCCGCCTTGCGGCGCCGGCACACCAGGTTCTAGTCCCGGTCGGGGCGCCGGATTCTGTCCCGGTTGCCCCTCTTCCAGGCCAGCTCTCTGCTGTGGCCAGGGAGTGCAGTGGAGGATGGCCCAAGTCCTTGGGCCCTGCACCCCATTGGGAGACCAGGAGAAGTACCTGGCTCCTGCCATCGGATCAGCGTGGTGCACCGGCCGCAGCGCACCTGGTGCGGCAACCATTGGAGGGTGAACCAACGACAAAGGAAGACCTTTCTCTCTGTCTCACTGTCCACTCTGCCTGTTAAAAAGAAAAAAAAAAGAGAAAGAAAGAAAAGAAAAAAGAAAGCATACCTGTTAAAAATGAATGAAACAATCTTCCCATTCTCCCAATTTCTGCTTCCCTTTTTATTTAGGGCTCAGATAAAACTACCCAAATGTAAAACAGAGCTGGATTAATATACCTAGTTTATAGGCCTGTGTTGCTCCAGTCTGTATCTCAGAAAAGGGTAAAGTAGTGAGTATGGCATTCTCCCCCCTCCCCCCTGCAATGGATGTGAAAGGGTTCTCCCAGTAGAAAATGAAAGTGCTAACTCCACTTTTCTCCTCCGAAGAGACAGACTAGAAAAAAACCTCAGACCTTCCCAAGAGAAGGGAAAAGACTAGAAGAGCAAAGAGTAAGCTAATAGATATTTATGGATTTTTAATTGATTTTTCAAGGCATTGTGGGAAGTACTAGGAAAAGTGAACACAAGATTCAGACTAATTGAAGAGACAACTATACTCAAATATGAAACAAAATTCAACCATTTATATTATCATTAGAAGAGACGCATGCCATAGACACACATCCCAGCTGAAGAAGTACCAATCGGATGACGCAGAGAAGTTGTACTCAGAGTCGGGAGGAGGAAGAGGTCATTCTGACTGTGGTCCCTGGAAAGGCTTTGCGGTGGCTTGAGTTCTTGCTGATACACAAGGGGATTTCAAAAGTTTCATGGCAAATGGAGTTAAAAGAGAGTATATGTGCCCTGTGAACTTTTTGTAGTTTTCCAAGTAGAAGGAGGCAAGGAATTAGCTTTCTGGTTAGCATATTCTGAAGACACCCAAGAGAAAATAGTTAGAATTAATTTTTCTGCCATTGAAGTAACACATCAATTTCAGGCAGTGCTTCTAATATTTCTTACATATCCAAATTGAGAAACAACATAAGATTTTTTGAGGCCTTATATGAAAAATTCCTTATAATGTAGGAACTTCTAAATTTGGGAAAACCATCATTCCAGATGAATATTTTTTTTCCCAGTTAGATATGGCTTTAAAGGGAAGGATGGGATTGAGGGATGAATGGATAAACAAAATGTGGCATATACATGCAATGGAGTATTATTCAGCCATAAAAAGGAACTTTTGACCCCTACTACAGCATGGGTAAGTATTATGACATTATGTTAACTAAAGGAAACTAGTCACAAAAGAACAAACACTGATTTCTTATGAGAGATACTTAGAGCAGTCAAAATCACAAAAGACAGAAAGTAGAATGGTCATTTCTAGAGAAGGGGAGAATGGGTATTTAATGGGTATAGGGTTTCAGTTTTACAAGATGAAGTTATGGGGATGGATAGTGGTGATGGTTACACATTATTAATGTGTTTAGTAACACTGAACTTAAAAATGGATAAAATGGGGATGGGCATCTGGTCAAGTGGTTACATCAGTGGTTAGGATGCCTGCATCCCATATCAGAGTGCCTGGGTTCCAGTCCCAGCCCTATTCCCAATTCCTGCTTCTTGCTATTGCACACCCTTGGTGGCAACAGATGATGGCTCAAATACTTGGGCCCTTGCCACCTGCTTGAGAGACCTGGACTGAGTTACAGCTTCCCACCTTCCCCTCCCCCTTAGCCTCTCTTCCTCTGCATTTGGGGAGTGGACTGGCAGATGGAATTGCACTCACACTCTCCCTCTCATTCTTCTCCCGGCCTCACAAATAAATTAAATATTTTTTTAAAAGATTAATCTAATTCTATGTATGTGTATTTTAGCACAATAAAAATATTGAGAGGAAGAGAGCACAAGAGATCAAGTAAGTGAGTAAAGGCTGGAAAAGACGAGGAGCCATTTCCCTGCCTCTTTAGATTTTTTTTCTCTCATACCTTTTTTTTTTTTTTTTAAGATTTATTTTATTTTATTTGAAAGGCAAAGTTATAGAGAGATTCCAAGTGCTAGTTCACTCCCTAGATGACTGCAATGGTGAGCCAAGAGCTGCTTCTGCTGCCATCCTCCACTGCTTTTCCAGGCCTTTTGCAGGAAGCTGGGTCAGAAGAGGAGCAGCCAGGACTTGAACTGGGCCCTATGGGATGCCAGCACTGTAGGTGGCAGCTTAACCCACTGTGCCACAGCGCCGGCCCATCCCCCCTAGCTTTCTGGCGAGGCTGAGCCACAGATGCTCCAGCTTTCCCATCCCAGTACACTGCTGTATGCTACTGCATTCTTGTTCCCCAGTGCTCTGGAGACCAGCCATGCAAGGTAGGCTCCTCCCTCCCAGCAATGGAGCAGGTCAAGAACCTGGGACATCTTCTTACTGTTTTCAGGGCTTACTTGATGGACTGTGCCCCAGCCATCCTGTCACTGCTAGGGAAACCAGAACATCTTTTCTTAGCCTTGTAATAATACTCTTTCATTCCCTAGGAAAATTGTAAGATTGGCTGTGCTTTTTTATTCTACACCATTTCTTTATAAATGTACCCTGTTGATAGAGCACTAGTTAATAAAAATACTATTTGGTTACTTGCTGACTTTTCAAATTCTAATGGCACTTACTGTTGAAACATTCAACACTGCATTTACTGCGGCATATTGCTAAAGTAGGTGATTGCCTTCCTACCAAACAAAAGGTTAAAGATATTAATATATGAGGTCTGGGTCTTAATTGGGAGATGTTAAATAGGTAGAAGACAAAAATTAGAAGTAATTTCTTGTACTTCTTTCTGTATTTTAGAGTTCCAGTGACCAATATGGTAGCCACTAGCCACATGTGGCTGTTATTCACTTCAAATGTGGCAAGTTCCAATAGATGTGTGCTATAAGTGTAAAATATACACCAGATTTAGAAGACGTAGTATGGAAAAAAATTTAAACGTTGATTATATATTGTAATCTTATTTGGACATACTGGGTTAAATAAGATTTATGGCTAAATTTAATACCACTTGTTTTTACTTTCAGAATGTGGTTACTCAAAATTACTGTGGCTCACGTCACATTTCTTTTGAACAGCATTGTTTGAAAGGGCCAGACATTGTGCTGTGCACATATAGAGTAGATGCTTACCAAGTGTTTGTTGCTTTATCAGTCACAGTGTAAATTTTCAATAGCCTTGCCCCTTGACCATAGTTTAAAATAGATTAGGGCAACATGTCTAGGACAAGAAAACTAAGCTGTTAAGATTAACGAAAGTTAATTTAGAGATCCTTTGACTTTATAAACTTTCCTGAAGATACATGTTAAAACATGGGTAAATCTTGAAAATGTGCGGGGTGAAAAAGCCAGTTACACAAGGCCGCTTACTGTGTAATTCAATTTATGTGAAATGCCTAAAATGGGCAAATCCATCCCTAGAAACAGAAATTAGATGAGTGGTTTGCAGGGCCTGGAAACAGGAGAATAGGGAAGGCCTGCGAGTTATCATGAGGTTTCTTTTGAGGGTGATGAGTATGCTCTGAAATTAGTGATGAAATTTGCTCATTACTGTAGTAATACTAAAGATACTGAATTATATACTCAATAGGTATTAACTTTATGGTATGTGATCATCTCAATAAAGCTATCATAAAAAAATCCAAAACTAAAATATAAGGGTAAACTTATTTATGTGTCAGTCATTCAAATATATATTTAAATAACATGTAATAATAATAAATAAGATGTCATTATTTTAGCATACAAATTCAGGAAAATCAATGTATAATATTTTGGCAAAGCTTATATTTACCTGAAGAAACCTAGTTTTAAAAAACACTTGTTCTAGGGCCGGCGCCGCGGCTCACTAGGCTAATCCTCCGCCTTGCGGCGCCGGCACACCGGGTTCTAGTCCCGGTCGGGGCGCCAGATTCTGTCCCGGTTGCCCCTCTTCCAGGCCAGCCCTCTGCTGTGGCCAGGGAGTGCAGTGGAGGATGGCCCAGGTGCTTGGGCCCTGCACCCCATGGGAGACCAGGAAAAGCACCTGGCTCCTGGCTCCTGCCATCGGATCAGCGCGGTACGCCGGGCCGCAGCGCGCTGGCCCGCGGCGGCCATTGGAGGGTGAACCAACGGCAAAGGAAGACCTTTCTCTCTGTCTCTCTCTCACTGTCCACTCTGCCTGTCAAAAAAAAAAAATTCATGTATTTATTTGAGAGACAAATTGACAGAGAGAAGGAGAGACAGAGAGAAAGGTCTTCCATCTTCTGGTTCACTCCTCAAATGGCTGTTAATGGCCAGAGCTGGGCAGAACCAAAGCCAGGAATTTCTTGTGAGTCTCCCACATGGGTGTAGAGACCCAAGCACTTGGGCCATCTTCCATTGCCTTCCCAGGCCACAGCAGAGAGCTGGATCAGAAGAGGAGCGGCCAGGACATGAACTGGTATCTATATGGGATGCTGGCAATGCAGGCAGAGACTTAGCCCACTACACCACAGAACTCACCTGACAAAATGCTTTATGAATGCTGCCATTTGTCAGGCATGGTTCTAGGCATTGGGCAATTCAGCTGTGAATACAGAAATGATTGGTACCCCCATGGAGCTTGCCTTCTGCTCAGAGGGATAAAGATGACTCCGCGAGCAACGAAGAGA